TTGGATATTAAAACAGAGATGTCGCCACGAGTGTCTATTCTGTCATCCGATGATAGAATATTTCATTCTGTTAACACTTTACGGAATATATGTCATTCCATAGATAAAAGTGATATTAGAACGGTCAAATTCCGTAATAGAGTAAAAAAAAACAATTTATTGTCAGTTAGTATTTTTTTGTAATATTGTCCTATTCTAGGAAATCAATTTCTTGCCAATTTATTCCATAATGGTTTTCCCATTGATTAAGGTGTAACTTCACTCAACGATTTGTTGTTTTAAATAAATTTTTAAATTCTGTTTTAAATATATTTTTTACTTATTTCAACTTCAAACAACTTTTTCCGTGCTGTCTATCGATAGTACAAAAACTATCATATCGAAAATATCGATAGTCGAATTTTTGACTATCGCACATCTCTAGCTGATACACCTCAATGTAAAACTGTCACTGTTGTATAAATATGGTGACTGCGATTCTTTGCAGATGTTAAATAAAAACCTGTAATTTGGAAGTAGCCGCTATTGAAACTAACTCTACAATGGATGTGGCCGCTTTTCCAAATATTCCAAACACAAAAAAGTACAACGTACTTTTTAGCGGGATCTAACCGCTTTTAAAATAAATTAAGTTTATCACGTGATAAAGCACATCTTATAATATAATTTTCCACTGTTAGATTAATTTTGATAAAAATATAGATGTAGCCACTATTGCAAGTAGACGCCTCAGTTATAGTAGTATATTAATTCACTCAGAGAAATATCATGTCGTGAAAAGCCTAGAGAATTATATTAGTTTAAATAATCGGGTTTATTTGATTCAAATAGAAAATGTTGTAGTTTTATATCGTCGCCCCAGAACCAGACTATTTTATGTCTATTTTTTTAAATTAAGGTTACGAGTCCAATGGAGTCTATGTCCGAAGCCATTTTTGCCAATAAATAACAAGTAAATATACAATTACTAACAAAAATAAAATTATACCACAATTCATTTACGATTATAATATCTACTCTCCAAAAATGAATTAGTCAAAAATGACTAATTTAATAGTTATTAGTGGCTGCTTTTTCACTTGTACCATGGTTAACCATGGAATACCCTGGTATCTCAAAATTTAACAGCCAATCCTTATGTAAAATTGTCTCCTGAATCCGAAAAATTATAGTGGAGCAGTTTTTGAAATATAGTCAATTCCATATTAAATGAAAAATTTACTATATCTTAAAAACTGTTCTACTTTTTTAACTTTTGACGACATTTTTGCATTCAGGGGACAATTTTACATAAGAATTTTGGAATACCATTAGGGTGGGTTGAAAATAAAATGTTTGTTTTATTTTCTTAGCATGGGGGTAGAATTTGTAAAAATTTACTCAACATCTTGAGGTGGCCCACTCGTTTTTTAAATAAATATTTAATCAAATGGGGTAGTTCCAACGGGAAATTCTTTGTTTGGTCCAAAATCGTGGAAAACATGTAAAAATTGTAGAACGTGATTTTTTTTCAACTTTCATTCTAATACAAAAGAAAGTGCATTTCATTTTTTAATTTTTTACTTAAATTACAAAAACGATGGGGAAAAAACAGATTCTAAAATAAAATAAAAATCCCGTTGGAACTACCCCATTTGATTAAAAATATTTATTTAAAAATCGAGTGGGCCACCTCAAGATGTTGGGTAAAAATTTTTTTTTTGAAAAATTTTCTTTTTTGCAAATTTGATAAGGTACAAATTCTACCCCTATGCTAAGAAAAAAAATACAAACATTTTGTTTTCAACCCACCCTATTAACCGTGGTACAAGTGAAAAAGCAGCCACTAATAACTATTAAATTAGTTATTTTTGACTAATTCATTTTTTGAGAGTAAGCTTTCAAACTTTAAAAATCGTCTCCTGTAAAAATTAAAAAAGTGGACATAAAATAGTCTGGTTCTGGGGCGACAATATATTTACCAACAGTTTTACAATGTATTTGAACAAGTGTTTTACTTTTAAAAATGTATACGAAAAGAAATATATTTATTTAATTGCGTTTCTCAACGTTGTTTCAAAAAGATATGCATTATAACATTGACACAAAAATATATTTGAATCCCTTTGAATTATGATCGTTTTTATTGATTTTATAACATTTTTCTCGGAGTGTTTAAATAAATATGTAAGTAAATAACAGTTTAACACTGGATTTAAAGATTGTATTAACAAAGGAAAAGTGTCTTAAGTTAAAAAAATAATGGTGAAACCAATTTTACTCATTGGTATTATTATATTAAATGCATTTTAGTTTAGTTTGTGTTAAAATTAATATTACGTATCCTTATAACATTTCTTAAAGGAAAATCACAATATAATTTTAGACTTTTAAAATTTTGTAGTGCTAAATTTTCCAAATGGGCGACTGTGCATTTGCTTTTCAAACTAACTGCGTTGATGCATTTGTTATGGATAAGCTGTATGCAATCGAATTCGACATTTAATTAAAATTATTGATTTGCGGCCTGTTGAATATCATATTGAATATGCTGGAAAATAAATGGCGCCGCTATTTTATATTTTAATACTGGTTCAATAAAATGTATGGTTAAAAATGTTCATCCCTGAAACTTTCCAGTTTTCGTCGAAAAAAGATTAAAACATAATTTTAAGAAGAATATCTTTAAATGCCATTACACACTTGCTGGTGTACGCATATTAAAATTCCTGGAACAATTTAAATTATTTCTACATGCATGTTTTAAATTGAAGTATCTTAATAAATTCACATAATTCAATTATACAAAACCAATAAGATAATAAAAAGTTTAACAAAACAAGCGTTTATACATTTGCTTGCATAATTCATTGAATAATATTTTGCTTTGTGTTTAAGTTAATCTTGTTAAAATTCTCGGTTTTATTTATGGGGTTTTGAATAAATATATCGGATGGATAAAGTTTTAAAATTATAACAAAAATATAATCTTTACAAAAGCATAAAACATTTTCCTTTTTATCTAATTAAATAATAAAATTATTGTTTTAATTATAAATTAAAATGTTAAAATGCTTTATATTTATATTTTATAAACATTAAAAAATGCCAACTTTTTAAACCTAAAAAATAACAGGTTTTCTTTAATTATATTATTTTAAGTCGTATTATATTATAATAAAATTATTGTTTTAATTATAAATTAAAATGTTAATATTTTTTATATTTATATTTTATAAACATTAAAAAATTCCAACTTTTTAAACTTAAAAAATAATAGGTTTTCTTTAATTATATTCTTTTAAGTCGTATTATATAAATAAGATCTAATGCACAAAATGTTTAAACAATAGTTTCATCTTATGAAAAATATATTTTTTTCATGAGTTTGGCAACATAATATGTAACATTAACAATTATCACAATAATTAATTGGTTAATTGATTGTTATCTGTTGACATCACTCCATAGATAATGATTGCCAGTTAAAATATAAAAAGAAAAGCTGTCGCTAGTAGCCCCACCACGTGGCCTTTATCATCGTAACCACAATTCTGCTTTTAATAAGCAGCTGTCAAACGTGTATGATGCAAACGAGTGTTTTTAAGAATGAAGCCGAAAATGTTAAAAATATCGGAAAAAAACCGTGGCACGATTAATTGTGTTGTTAACAACCCAATTTTTTCGAGAGAAAATCCTGGGTTGAGTTTTTACCCCTTGCCCAATAAACAGTAAAAATCCTAATAAAGAAATAAATTACAGTCCCTGTAAATATAAATTGTACCTATTAGATACAATAAAATTTAATACAATTTAATACACATTTTACACGTGAAAATCTTAAAACAAATAAGTCATCTAAATTCAAACATTATTAAAAGCGTTGATTAAGAAAGTCTCCACTCAACAGTAAAATACTAAGAACCGGTATTATTTTATGTTTTATATTGTTGACAATTCTTAAATTCACACAATGCTATCGAACTCCACCAGATGGCGCGCGCGTTGCGAAAACCCGATTTTTCTTTAGCGTATATGTCAAAATTTATTAAAATTTTTTTAAACAAAATTACATTAATTTAAAGGTATGTAATAATTAATAATTAATATTATATCGTAAACTAGATAACTTTTTGTCTATTTTGCGTTCATAATGACTTCATTATAACACCGCTTTCGGTGCTGTAATGAGATACTTTATCCCACCCAAAATTTTGATTTTATAGGTTGGCTATACTTTAAACAGCAAAATATTTTGCATATTGTTATAATATTTTTATGATTTTTCTAATACTTACGAGACTTTTCTGGCAATAAATTTTGTTTAACACCAAAGAAAATCCTTTTTTTCTTCTTTAACAGCTGCTTATTGTAAATAAGTAAATTAAGGACGGCATGGCGAATCGATTTTGACATTAACTTTCAAACCAATGACTGATACCAACTATCTAAAATAAAATTCGACCAAATTAGATTTAAGGTATAAAATTAATTTTTTTTATAGAATTTTTGCAAAATAGATAAAATAGCATAAAGAACTCATGTCATATGATCTTTTGTCGCATGTTTTATAAAATATCCGCGTGCGACAAAATGACGTCTTATGACATTAGTTCTTTAATATACTATTTTATTGTTAAAAAAAATGTATGTTATAACTTCTAAATATCACCATAAAATCGTAAACAAAAGTTCAATGTGGAGGCTAACATTTAATCGCTGTTAAACAGTTCTGGTGATTTAATCGCTTATTTAAACAAAATTTCATCTGAAATTCAAGGCTTTTGATTGGTTCATTTTATAATGAGGAAAATAATCGCTGTTAAACAGTTCTAGTGATTTAATCGCTCATCGAAACAAAATTTATTCGAAAATGCAAGGCTTTTGATTGGTTCATTTGATAATGAGGGAAATAATCAAATCATGAATTATTATATTTTTAAACCAGTGTAGACAATAGTATTTTAGTATTAACTCTTTCTGTAATAACAAAGACTAATTTTGTTATTTGGTTGTTTCAGATTGCCGTTACGAGTACGTGGTTGACCAGCAGCCGATCGGCAAGCTCCTCTTCGACCAGTGGTGCGAGACCAAAGCGCAAAAGTACCTGAAGTGCCTAAAGTTCCTGGAAGCGGCCAATAGCTATGAGATCGCCACCGACGAGCAGCGCTGCGAGCTCGCCAACCAAATCAAAGCGAACTTCATGGTCGGCACAGAGGGGCAGGAGCAAGTCACCTTGCCCGAGCTGGGGCTCGAGTGCTTTCCCTGTGATAAACTGACCAACGGGCACAAGGATCTTTTCGCGCCCTGCGTGCAGGCCGTCAAGAGTTGCTTGGCCGGCGAGCCGTTTAGGGAGTTCACCAGGTCCATGTACTTCCACAGGTACCTGCAGTGGAAGTGGCTCGAGGCGCAGCCTGTCACCTACAAGACCTTCAGGATGTACAGGGTGCTCGGAAAAGGAGGATTTGGGGAAGTTTGCGCATGTCAGGTAAGAAATATTACTTTTTTGTCGAGTGGAATAATGCGCCGTTTGTATTCGCAATTGTTAAGCCCGTATTAAAGTCTGCAATTCTACGTGCATAACGACGTTTCGTGCAAGTCTATTGCCGTTTTAAAATAACGGTCCTGCTCATTTTTTATTGCCAATTGCATGCAAATCTGGGGAAAAAATTGGTAACTTTTTTTATCTACAACTGTCATGTAATGACTATGGTTTGACACTCCTTGAAATGTCATAATAACTTTTATTATCGCACTAGTGCTTTTTTAAATTTATTACCGCACTAGTGTGTTAATATCTTAAATTAAGCTCAAGTTATAAGATTATATGAAAACTCATTTATTGTAAACATTAACAGTAAAATCTTTACAATTAGATAAATTAATTCCAGATGCTGTCATGCCTAACAATTTGCTGGAAATATTTTTGTATGAACGTTGTGGATGTTGATGGAGTATCTTTAGATGTTGAGGCGATATTCTCCGCTTCCGGGAAAACATCCTCGCTAGCCCCTACAATTTTCACAGCCGTTCGTTTCTTGTTTTCACTAGAAGTTTCGATGTAGCCTTCAGCAACCGAATTAGATTTCCAGCCACCATATCTTTTTACATATTTCTTGATATCGACATTCTGCTTAATTAAAATTTCTGTTTTTAACATCGAGTAATAGCACCAAAGAGATGAGGGCTTCTGTGTTTTGCTTAATTCGTTGAAATATACTAATAATCCTTTTTCGCTTGTCAAGTTGATTATCTTTTTGTCATTGCACCATTTTTCGTACCGATCAAAAGCTTCTTTATATTTCTTTCGTGATTTAGCTGGCACCAGATCCAAAACAACATTAAAAGCTTCCTTTTCAATATCAGATGGCAGATCATCGCTTTAACTAATTTTTAAATGTGAAATTTTCACACAGATTTGACAATGACTGACAGAAGAAATTTATTTACAATCGTAGCTATGCTTGTTGCTAAGGTAATATAAATTCTTATTACCTGCATCCTGTATTCAATTTTTACTCAAATATGTAATAAAATAATAATAGTTATAGTTGTAGATAAAATGTTGTACGTAACACGTAGGATACTATATTATTAACGCACTTATGTGATTACACCAGTCAGCCTACGGCCTCGTCGTGCAAATTTTTTCATGCGTGCGTTAATAATATCCATATCCTACTTGTTATGTAAATAACTATTATACCAATCCAATTCTTTTAATTCCTTAGAGACGCTGGTTTGTTTTTTAATAGTATATTATGTATCAAGTTTGATAAACGCCATTAATGAGTTTATAAACGAGGTGCATACTATACTTTTTCTACGACAAAAACTTATAATTATCTTAAAATTACTTAAACCAAATATTTGTATAGAGCGCCATCTATAAAACAATAGGGGAATCTCTGTTTTACCGTCAACTGTCAAATTTTATAAACACAGATTATAAAGGTTATAAATCGAAATGTATTCCTTGAAAATGGACAGTTTTTCAAAGTGAAAGTAAAGAAAATGTTTTATGAGCACCTTACTTTGGAATTTAAGTTATAGTTTACCTACTACCGGCGAAATTAAAAGGTCAGTACAATGTTCATATAAACTTTTCAAATATTGGCGTTGAGAAACTATTTAATACTTTTGTATTTTTGTATTGAGATAATAAAATAATTTTCACATTTAGTAGATATTATTTTACAAGAAAGCCAATTTATTTTAACGATTGTATGACACTTGACAACTGTCAACTAACTTAAAACTAACTTCAGCCCGTGACTAAAAACCTGTTGCTAACTATAAAAATATTTGATTTAAATCATTTTAAGATAATAATAAGTATTTGTCGTAGAAAAAGTATAGTATGCACCTCGTTTATAAACTTTTCTATACACTCATTAATTTAAGAACTCGCTCGCAAGCTCGCTCGTGCCTAAATTAAATTCGTGTATAAAATGGCGTTTATCAAACTTAATACATAATATACTATTTTGCATTGGTACATAAAAACAAAGGATAATACATCATGGGAGAGTCAATTTTTGACAGAACAAAATTTAAGAAAATTAAAAAATTCAGTTATAAAATATCCATAAAATCGGTAAAGTTAAATCTTTAAATACAAATGAAATTTATAAAAAAAGTGATTTATGTCAAATCAATTACAAAAAATATAAAAAATGTGTGTAATATGCATTCAATATATTTAGGGATATTAAACAATATTTAAAAAAAAAATTCTATTCAGCCTTTAGGTGGGGTGAAATTAATACCTTTATGCATTGGTACATAAAAACAATTTAGGATAATACATCTTGGGAGTCAATTTTTGACGGAACAAAATTTAAGAAAATTAAAAAATTCAATTATACCTAGATATAAAATATCCATAAAATTACTTTGTTTTAGGATTCTACATAATAATTTACTTTTATTTTTCTTTGTCGTTTTATTTTTTAAAATGTCCCTTTTTACCTTTTTTACGTCTGCTTATATCTAACATAAAAATTGTGAAAGACCGTCTCTAACAATTTATTTCTTAAACGAGTTCCTTTATTTTCCTAGAACTGGGTGGATATCAATCTTGTTGGCTTAAAGCCATAACAAAAAAACACTTACCTTAAATTACACGTAGGTAATTCACTTCCTGTTTAAATTTAATATTTATACCCTATGTTGTCAGCTTGAATTTTAATTCCCAACATTTATAAAACGATGCACCTGTTCGGCAACTTTGACACGTAGATGGTGTTGTGCGCGAAAATAATTTCCATGAAAAATCTCCACGGTACATTTCTCAATAGTTTTTTCCATTTTCCTATGAATATATGAATAGAATAACGATCATTCTGCTCGGCATTACTTGCATGTCTGTCTTTAAATGAGACCGGGGAATTTGCTCCTTTAAATCTGTTTTTTATTGTTTCAGCTGGATGTTTGTTTTTTAAGAGAAAATCGGTTTCCGATAAAAAAAACAAATGAATTTATATGCAAGATCAAAAACCAACCTACAAAGGAATTTATTTTAAAACCTACGTTCAGTTTCGGGATACAATTAAAATTGATTGTTGTCCGAAACTTGAGCTAAATTTTATTCTGTACAAATCTTTATTTTGTCAAAAAAGAGGTGGGTTAAAAGCCTTTTTGCACAAAATGGTACAACTATAATAAGAAAGTAAATTTTTTGTTGACTTTTAATTAAAAAATACAAGTGCATTTTAAATAAAAATAAAAATCTTGACCTTATCTGTATCAAGCTGGACTCACAGGCGAGATAAGTGTTTCAGATCATTGTTCTGTTGAAAGACAAACCGCAAAGGCATCCCCCTTGGCGTAGGAACTTAAGCTTTTGGAGTATTTCCCTGTATATCAATTCATCCATGAAGTGTCCCGTCCCCGAAAAACCACCCCATAACAATAAATTACCTTTTCTGTTCTTTATTTTTGGTGCAACGTACTTCGTATTAACGCGACGCCTTACACGCCTTACCCTGTCAGAATTTAAAATTTTGTACCGATTTTCGTCGTTGAATAATATTTTACTAAACGACTGCTGCCATTTGCCACTGTCCACATTGATCACGAATTTCCTTTGATGGTAAGCTGAAAACCGACCTGCGTCGGAACTTATAAGAGAACCTGACCGAAGGTAGCTTAGCAAACGAATTCGTTCGTTCGCTTTGATTTAAATGCTCCTTAACCATTTCGAAGAAGTGGTTGAACCGCTATCCTAATTGCTCCTTTATTCGCCAGATTCTCCAGATTTAGCCCCTAGTGACTATTTTATGTTTCCAACCCTGAAGAAATGGTTAAGATAAAAGAGATTTGGATTCAACCAGTTGAGACTCGTCGCAAAAATGCTCAGCCTCCTCAAAAATTTTAGTTATTTTATTTAAATATGTTCCTATTATATTTTAACTAAATAGCCATTTAGTGAAAATGTAATTAAATCATAATTTTTATTACAATGATATCTTTTCGTAATAAATGACAATACTGAACGGCACACTTTATAATCGGACTTTACATAGTGGTAGGCTAGCCGAAGAACACAGACTGTTCCGCAGTGTATGGCGAAATGATCGGGAGCGGTGATTTTGTTATTTCGTCAACAAATATAAATTAAAGGACATGTTTGTCGAAACATTAGGCAATTGGACGTTCAAAGCACTCTTCCTAGGGCAGTGTTTTGTTTAAACATGAAAAAATTGTAAGGCATTAAAACACGTGGGGACATTGTGGATTGGCTATTTTTACTGGCAACAATGAAATAATTGCTAAAAAAATGTCCATTTTGAGGACGTTGAACAAAGAGACTATGTTAAAAAATATTGTAACGTACTGAGTACGTCGTACTCAGTAACAAAACAAACACTAAATGAAATGTTGAATCAATAAAAAATTCTGCCCCCCTACTATGGAGAAAGGCATGCAGTAACTCCTAAACAAAAAATTTGTGTGAAATTATCATTAACTACATTTTTATAAAAAGTACTAGGTATTTAATTTATTTTTTCCACTTCTGACATAGTAAGTAGTATGTTGTGACATTGATTTGACAGAAGTAAGTACAACTTACTGAGTGTGCTCTGGCTACCGTTGACAACGGAAAGTAAGTACAAATTAAACAAGAACATTATTTTTTATTAATATTATTGGTACAATTTTTAAAATTACATTTAACAAAATTTGGTGTGATTTCTGAAACCTTCTTTCCATTTTCGTTCTCATCTAGAATTATGGTTTCTGTTGATAACACGGCTTCACTATCACTGACATAAGAAATTTCCGTTGAGTTGGTGGTAGATTTTGATAATATGTTCGATGAATGATAACTATTGTCGTACAAAATTCTATTGGCCATCTCATTTTTATTCGAAACCCCCGAGTCTCTTGAGTGCAAGAACATCGACTCCAGTGTTAGCTAACAAAGTAGCGGAAGTCCTTCGAAATTAATGTACAGAATTAGTCTCACCATTTGTCAGCCCCAGG